CTACTACTACTACTACTACTACTACTACTACTACTATCATCATTATTTTTATGTACTGTATGTCAATATAAACAGATAATCTTTTATAGTAGACTATTTATGAAATGGCAATGAATGCCCTGGTTGTATGTCGGGAAACGGATTTTTTTTACTGTGTTCCTGAATGCAACATAACTCTGACTTCTTTTGCAGCCAAAGCGCAGAGTGACAGGAGCCTGTTTTGAAAGTTGAGCTTCAAAAAAAGAAAATAAGAAAATAAGAATAAGAAATAAGAATATAAGAATAATAATAAGAAAAAAGTTTTGGACAAACTGACAACTCCAGTTGTCACTTGTGACTTATAGCTGCAGCACATAAAGCTAAGAATTCCTTCATGCCTAATGTAAGGTACTGACATGTCATTTATTCTACTACAATAAAAATAAATTAGACTAATTTAGGCTTGCACATGTACACAATCAATAGTCTACACAGGAATAGCCACAACAAAATTATTGCGGGGCCACATGTTAATTATTTCATGGCAATGCAATAATTATGTTGTGACCACCCATTATTAATGCATGCAATAATTTTTTTTTCTCCAATGTCACTGGACAGGCTCTGTAAATAATAGCTTCACAATTTTGGGCTAAAATCTGTACTGACAAATTATTCTCCAAGAAATACTCACTGAGGAAAAATAATTGAGCCTCTTTAATTTTTAATAAAGTCAGATGTATGAATTCTCCTGAAGTTGATAATCTTGTTTTATGAGACGTAATCTTTCTATATTATTTAACTTAATTATTTATATACACAGTTATTTATTTGTATATCTTGGGTCAAAGAAACACTGATTTGTGATTTCAGTCTATTCCTATCTGTTCATTTGTCTGACATCCATGCAGCTGTTGACAGAATCAAAGTGTGTGTACCCTGAACCTGTTGATGAGGTCATAGCGGGTGAGCAGGTCGTAGACCAGGAACTTGAGGGCATGTTCTGTTGTGGCCTCATGGAAAGCAAAAACATCGAAGGACCATTGATCCACCTCCTGCAAACATTTAACACAAAATCATTCAGAAGCAATACATAAGATGGACCAATGTGCAAGAGGCTCCAGGTCTCCCAAGTCTTTCACTGTAATGAAGTCTTCAGACAGCAGGGGGCAGTGCACTAATGTCTTTTGAGTCTTCAAAGACGGTGAAGCAAAAATTACATAAATGATTGTAATTATTCCAATTATATTTGAAGTTGGTCTCCGTGTGATACATGAGAATCATAAAACAATGTAATTATTGGGAAAACTGATTTTTTWATAGAACAGGAAGCCMTGTGGAAGAAACATACATCAGGTTCCTCTGCAATATTTTATTATTCTTCATCAGCTGTGTATATCTCCTTTTCATCCTCAGTTGTTACTCTATTTTAACCAATATTTGGATGTGCTTGGTTTTCTCCTATGACATCATTCTCTTTTTCATCTTCCTGTTTTTTGACTGACTCCAGCTATTTCTTTTCTTCTATTTAATTTAGATTTTTTAAATCTTTTATTCTCCACCTACCTCTTTATGTCAGCTCCCTCCTCTTTTCATTTTATATAAAGTACTTTTCACTTCCACCCTCTCCTATTATTCTTTGACACTTATTTTTTTCTCATTTTCTCTCTTTTATATTCCTCCCCCTCCAGTCTCCTAACAAACTTTACTAGACAAGAACAAAATTTACATTTAGCAGGCCAAGTGCAGTGTTTAAGGCACCTGTTTTGTAAAGTTTCAGTTTATAAAGTTAAAAAAGTAAAGTACAGCAGGGATCCATTTGTTTTCTCTTTTAAACCTGACTTAGAATGGAGGATTATACATTTTAAAGCTTAAACTATTTTCTAAATTGAACATGGACGCAGCAGGTAAATAAGTCAAACCACAGCTGAGACTAAAGCTCTTCTGAAACAGTTGGACACTGTGTGGACGTCCTGAGAGAAACTTTTTTTTCACCCTGCCATTTTTCAAATTGTGACAACTGAGGACTCAGATGGGATATTTTGACTGGTGCATGGACTTAAGTAAAGTTTCTTGCCTCCTTTAAAGCTCACCCTTCTGGAAGGCTTTCCTGTCCCAGTCTGCTGTGCCTGTGAACCGCCACCTGTAAACTCACCTGCACTCTTGCCACTGGGTCACTCTGCCTGTAGGGTCAATACTCACCTGCTGGCCACTCCTCTCCTCTGTGCTGGTTCCCTCCTGGATACCTTTAATCCTGTTGGATGTGGTTGGTCCTTCTTGGTGGTATGCTGACATTACCCTGGATACTGTGGCTCTTGATACATCACAAACACTTGCTGTCTTGGTCAAAGATGCTCCAGCAAGACGTGCACCAACAATTTGCCCTCTTTTGAACTCAGGGGACACCTCGCACGCCTGTTAGCAGGTAACATCAGGGTATTTGTCTAGTACAGATGCTGCATTTTACTTGGAAGCAGTGAATGGCGGCTGTTTTGGTGAGCTGACTGGGTAGTTGGCCAGGAGGTGGCTGACAGTGGAGGAGAGTGACTAGCTGATATTCTGCTAGCATCGCACCTGGAAACTAACACCACAGAACAGCAAAGGTGCTGCATCGCCATACCCGGGAACTGCTGCCAACAGGCCCTGGAGTTACGTGAATCATGCCGAAATGYGGGCAAGGAAGATTAGAGTTGGTGGAAAGTAATTCAGACAGCATGGATGAAATTAAGAAGTCGCTGAACTTTATGAGTGCAGAATTGACAAGGTTAGCATCGCAGCAGGAACTTCTGATCAGTTTGGTCGAGGAAGTGAAGCTGCTGAAAGTTCTGTTAAGTGACAGAGACAAGAAGAYAACTGAACTGGAACAAAAAAATAGATGATCTTGAGAACAATATACAAGACGAGATGATTTAGTAATTTCTGGACTTGATGTTAAACACCGGACCTATGCAAGAGTAACCGCTAATGTAATCACCACAGAACTCTCCATAAGAAGAACTGCTGACTCTGGAGAAAAAGGTTGTGACTTTTTTACAAAACAAAAACATTGATATCAAACATGAGGACATTTACGTTTGTCACACCTTGCCTTCGAAATCAGATAAGTTTAAASCATCTTTTGTAATCAGGTTCATCAGTCAAAAATCAAAAAAATAATACAACATTGCAGGAAAGAAAATTGAAGGGAACTAATGCTTACATAAATGAACATCTAACTGAAAAATGGAAACATCGCACAGGTGGCAAGGTTGCTAAAAAACAGGAAAGAAATTCCTGCAATGTGGAGACGGAATGGAAACATTTGGATCAGGGTAAAGGAAGGAACACAGGTTAAAATAATAAAAGAACTTAGAGAGTTAGAAGGATTTAGATAAAGATGGGACAAACCACAAACTTAATTCAYTTTTATCAAGTGGTTTCAGCTGTTTAACAATACAAATGGCTACAAACTAAAATATGTATAAAGACTCAAACTAAAATATACAATTTACATGACATAATCGATTCCAAATTCTTTCCTATAATTATAGACTCTGAATATTATAATGAAGAACAATTTAGTAATATCAATGTGGAAAATGAAGGTCTTTCTATTGTTCACTTCAATTGTAGAAGTATAAATGCTAATTTATTTAAAATAACAGACTAAAACAGTTAAACAGAACTTTTACTATAATAGCACTTTATGAAACATGGCTTAGTGATGGATAACATTCAAATTGAGGGAGAATTATATTACAACAATGGGATCAATACAAGGGGTGGTGGAGTCGCTCTATTTATTGATAATGAAATAAAATGTAAAACAATTAATAAAATGTCAATAATTGTGGATAAAATTATGGAAATAATAATTAAAATAAATAAGAATTCAAAAAACACAAGTTGTGTCTATCGATCACCCGAATCTAATATAGAACTATTCACCGATCAAATCATGAAGCTCCTTGAAGGGAGTTGTACCAAAACAGTTTCTGTGTGTGGAGATTTTAATATTGACCTGGGAAATAAGACAGATTCAAATAATATTGGAACATTTATAAATCCCATGTATAGTTTAAATCTTTGTCCACTGATATGAAGTGATATGAAGGCAASATGGAAAATAATGAATGGGGTTTTGAAAAATAACATTTTTAAAGGATGACAATRAAATTTATGTTCAGAATGAAATTGTAAATGAAATTGTAAATGGAATTAATCAATTCCATTTATTTTTGGTACTTTAACAACATATTTTGAACTGGCATTTCCATTGACCACATTTTTTAACTGGTGGCCCACGGGTTGAATAGCCCTGCTACTGAATGTAGTGGGTTACGGCTCTCTCCTATTTCTTTAGACAATATTGACGATCAAACTTGTAATGTTATTTGCAGTTGGCATTACTCAATTCTAAATTTAGAAAGTGCAAATCTGCATATCATTTGAAGAAATTATTAAAACCCCTAAAGCACAGAGGAGAAATTTAGGTCCGCAGTTTGCGCTTTTGCACTTTAGGGGACTAGTGCTCACCACTGTATATACTGTTATTGTTTTATCGCCCAGTCTGGTGATAGCTTAACACAGACTTCAAGCTCCAAGCATCATGCACAATTTTTGCCTTAAACTTTGACATTACCTGTTGGTTTTCAACACTGTATTTGGATRTATCAAAAATGATGACCTAGAATAGGAACAACTGACAAGATTCAGATGACAAAGTGGAAAAAATTGTTAATATGTATTTACAGTAGTGTTGTAGTCAAGACCACCTAACCCGAGACCAAGTCAAGACCAAGACCACAGTGTCTCGAGACCAAGACAAGACCAAGACTAGAAAAAAGTGTCCTAAAAGAAGATGGAGTATTCTGTACATGTACAGTGGAGGAAAAAGTATTTAGTCTCTCATTGTTGAGGTCTAACTATGATGCCTCTCTCATCTTTTTAAGTGGGAGAACTTGAACTATTGGTGCTGACTAAATACTTTTTCTCCCCACTGTAGCTATAGCTTAATATGTAGAGTTAATATTGACAAAATCTTTGTTTGAGAGCAGAGGAAAGAATTTTGTTACAGAGGCAGATTGTTAAAGTTAGTGACGGTAAAAGTTTAAAGTTGTCCCCATTGTCTCTGAAAGTGAAGCACTGCTGAATGTACAAGTTGTTGTACACTTTATCCTGGTTGTTGTTGTTTTACATTGATAGTATTTATGAATAATGTAGCCAAATTTTATAATTAAAAATTTGAAGTCATCTTTTACCGCTCCCAGACAACCGCGGTTCACTTTCCTGGAGTGCTGCATGCAAGTCACGGGGGGTGCGGATGGGTGACAGCCAATAACAAAATACATAAATAGTAATGAGTCAGGTTTGGATTTGAATCAGTAGCTACATTTTAAATCCAATGAAAGCAAGAATGTTGACTAATAAATTGGAAAACTCTGGCTGTTTAGTGATATTTCCACAGTTGTGGTCTTGACTGGTCTTGAAATAAAATTTTGAGTCCTCAATGTCCGAGACCGAGACAAGACCGAGTACAAATGCTGTCGCATCCGAGACAAGACCAAGACCATCAAAAAGTGGTCTTGAGAYCAGTCTTAAGACCAAGACTGGTTTCAAGTACTACAACACTWATTTAGAGGTAAGTGTATATACAGGACAACTATGGAGAGAAGATGTAATGTTGTTATAGGTTCCAGTAATTGTCCAGCTATGTGACCTTTCGCTGATGCCTACAGAGACAGTGCAGGAGGCTGGCTTGGAGGAGAGGGCAAGAGGATTCCAGTCTAGAGTGACTAGGGTGGTTGTTTCAGAGAAAGCAGGRTGGCAGTGCGGCACTCTCAGAAGTGACAACAGCTGAGTGAATGATGACTGTGCCCTGCCATTGARGAGACTGTGAATGAGGAAGCAAATCAGCTGACAGACCAATCTCTACGTTACATTCCAGTGTTGACTCCAGGTAGATGGATTGTTGTTGAATACACACCRTCATGCCGCCTCAAGTTCCTGATTACACCTTTCAGATTGGCCGACTGTGGGTGATAGCCAGAAGACAAACTAGAAGAATCTCCCAATGCCTGACAAAAAACCATCTGGACCAGGGAGACAAACTGTGGACCCCGGTCAGACACAATATTGTTGGGGATGCCATAGAGTCTAAAACTGTGTTGAACAAGAACCTGAGCAGTTTTAAGGGAAGAGAGAAGCTTGGTTAGTGGAACAAAATATGACACTTTAGAAAATCTGTCTACAACAGTAGGAATTACAGCATGACCCTCAGATGGGGGCAAACCAATAACAAAGTCTAATGCAATGTGGGACCAAAATCTCACAGGGGTGGGTGGTGGTTTGAAGTAGTCCAGCCAGGGGTCGATATAGATTCTTATTCTTAGCACAGACTGAACATGCTGAAACAATCTCCTTAACATCATGAGAAATCATAGGCCGCCAAAAGTGTCATTTGGCCAAATTCAACATATGATTAACCCCTAGGTGGCAAGAAAACAGCGATGTGAAGCCAAGCTAATATTTTGCTAATGACAGACCTTGGGATGAATAGACAATTGGGTGGACCTGTACCTGGATTTGGCTCATCTTGTTGAGCTACACAGATCTCTTGCTCAATCCCCCATATGTTGACTCCAATTGTACATTGCAGTGGCAAAATTATCTCCTCTGTCTTTAGGCGATCTTCAGTATAAAACTGCTTGGAGAAGGCATCAGGCTTCATGTTCTGGGAACCTGGCCAATATGTAATGTTGAAGTTGAAAGGTGTGAAAAATAGAGCCTGAATTTTGCCTGAAACTCTCAGACTGAAGAAGTCTCTTGGAGAAGAGACGAAATGTTTCATTAGAGAAGAACCCGTCCAGAAGACCTACACAATTTTTTTTCTTTTTGAAGGCAAAATGTGGTATATTGTGATTTTTTTGTCCAAAAATTCTATTAAATAAAAACCTCTTGGGGGGATGAAAAACCAAAATTCATTGTCTCAGAAAATTCTAATATTACATAGACATAGTTTTGATACATTTAGCTGTGTTCTACTT